GGCAGGAGGAGGCAGTCCTTTAATCATTAGGAGCCTACGCTTGACAGACATTCCATCTTGGGATGTTTTCAAGATCACAAGGACAGGAAAAAGGGCACCTGGCAAAATGTACACTGGCTTGTGATGCTCCTACCTGGAAGTGATGCATGTGTCATGTTCTCACAATTCATTAGCCAAAGCAGTGACGTGGCCATGACAATTTTCAAAGGATGTAGAGTAGTGCCAGCCCTCCATGAGCCTGGAAGGAGCAAGAATCAGAATATTTGTGAACACCCGAAATGACTACCACAAATTAGAAAGTGACCCAGGTCTTCCCAATCAAGAAATCGCCTATTAGAGGGAATAAATATTCCAGACTTTCTTTGTCTTACTTTATGTTTATTTCTAAATGTCCAGTAGAAGGCAGTTAAAATAAAGTCTCAAAGAAACATAAGCTCCTTTGGAAACAGTTGATTTGTGTTTGCATGGGAAGATAGTATTCCGTATCTGATAGCATCTCTGTGGCTCTAGAGAAAACTACAGCTTGATATTAGAATAAACTACCAATCTTTTTTTTTTTTTTCAGATAGAGTCTTGCTTTGTCACCCAGCCTGGAGTGCAGTGGTGTAATCCTGGGTCATTGCAACCTCTGCTATCTGAGTTCAAGCAATTCTCCCACCTCAGCCTCCTGAGTAGCTGAGATTGCAGGTGTGCACCACCAAACCCAGCTAATTTTTTTGTTGTTGTTGTTGAAACGGGGTTTCACCATGTTGGCCAGGCTGGTCTCAAGCTCCTGACCTCAAGTGATCCACCCACCTTGGCCTCCCAAAGCTCTGGAACTATAGGCAGGAGCCACCACGTCAGACCTACTACTCATTCTTTTTTTTTTTTTTTTTTTTTTTCTGAGACGGAGTCTAGCTTCTAGCTCTGTCGTCCAGGTTGGAGTGTGCAGTGGTGTGATCTCAGATCACTGCAACCTCTGCCTCCCAGGTTCAAGGGATTCTCCTGCCTCAGCCTCCCGAGTAGCTTGGATTATAGGCTCCTGCCCCCATGCCCGGTTACTTATTGTATTTTTAGTAGAGACGGGGTTTCACTGTTTTGGCCAGGCTGGTCTCAGACTCCTGACCTCGTAATCTGCCCTCCTGGGCCTCTCAAAGTGCTGGAATTACAATCATGAGCCACCATGCTAGGCCCCAAGCATTCTTTAAAAAGAAATGCTTAGTTTCTTGCTATCCAAAATTGTAGTATGGGACCAGCAGCATCAGCATCATCTGGGAGTTTGCTATAAATGCAGCTTCTCAGCACTGGATTAAAATATCTGGGAAATGCCCATGAAATCAATGATATATCACATTTAAAATTATATAATCAGAGCCTGACAGGTTTTTTTTTTTAAACTTTTCTTTTTAAAATTTAGGTTTTCAAACTGTTACAAAGCTTACAACTAAAAAAAATGTACAGTGATTAATCATAGGAGAAGCAAAACCCACTGTATTTAAAAATTGTGTGTGCATAATATTTTGTTTCATGAAGGCATCTCATGGGACTGACATCTTACTTTTGTAGTTTCAAAGAGAATGACAGTTGTAAGATGCTACGTTAGCTGGCTTTAGTGGAGGGCAGATGATACAATATTGAGCACAACCTACAAGTTTCACAACACTGAAAACCAAAACGTTCAGGTTTTCCCCACGCTTCTTTGGATTAATGATCAGGTCCTCAAAGACAAACTTCCATTTCCAAACTTTATGGAATGTGCACATTCTCATAGTCTATCTGAGATACCACTCATTCTGGGGAGAGGGTATTTTGGTGCATGTAAAAGACACACTATTCTTAACTTTAGCACAGTAGTACACATCAGAGGCAATAGTCATATTTGGTTTTTTTTTTTTTTTTTTTGAGACTGAGTTTCACTCTTGTTACTCAGGCTGAAGTGCAATGGTGCAATCTCGGCTCACCGAAACCTCCACCTCCTGGGTTCAGGCAATTCTCCTGCCTCAGCCTCCTGAGTAGCTGGGATTACAGGCACACGCCACCATGCCCAGCTAATTTTTTGTATTTTTAGTAGAGACGGGGTTTCACCATGTTGACCAGGATGGTCTCGATTTGGGGTTTTTTTAATCCCTAAAAACAAGACTATATCCACAAAAAAATAGTAAGAATGAAGTAAAATTAAAGAAAATTAATTGGACAAAATTATTTCCTCTCTGAATTGGGGAAGGAAGAGTGGTACTTTTTAGGAACTTTCAGCCAACATTATCCCAACCTCTCAGGAAAGCAGAAACCTGATTTGGTGCTCAACAATAATGCCTAGATTTGTTTAATGCTTGTTGTGAAAATAATTTCACTCTAGATAAATTTTTAATGTAATCACCACCTGGGGAGAGAAAGAAGGCACAAACAAATTGCCATACATTTTGTGGCTCTATCTAATATAAATAAGACAATTTATCCACCAGTTTTACGATGCATTTTCCTTTATACATGGCTCCTTCTCAAAACTACTGCAGCAAGATACCAAAATCATTTAATAAGAAACATAAAACACATGCAGATAAGGCACGGAAATGTATGTGTATTCGGAATCACCAAGAGACACCTCAGTTATCATCCTTATAATTTAGACTTCTTGACACAGTTTTATTCCTTACTGTTTGTAGTAATATTTCTGCTACTCCCCAAATAAGCGAGTTTTATCATCTGCAGATACATGACACTTGGATAGGGTGGTTATAGCCCTGCCTCCTCGCTTTTCTCAGTCTAAAAAAAACCTGTTTCACAGGAAAGTAAATCATGATGCTTAACCAAAATACAAAAGATCAGGCTGAGCAGAACTAACAAAACTCCTTTGGTCTTCTAGTTTTCAAAAATGTGAGTTTTTGACATCTGATTCCTGATCTGACCCTCAAGAAGTGGATCTGGTTATAAAGAGATGATGTTTTACAGTACATGTGACCACCAAAGTTTAGCTGCTGTAATATTCTTAATATAGTTATATAACCAGGCTATGCAAGGTTTCTCACAAAACCAGAAAAGCTCCTCTCTTCCTATCATTCCCTTCCTGTACTGTTTTCAATTACTGGCTTCTCAATCATTCAGGAAACCACTGAGAACCATTAACAGGTTATTGGAATGCCCAGAGTGACTGCCCAAGGACAGGAAAATGCACTGGCTCTTTTTAGAAGAACCTGGAAAAGCACATGCAGACCATTGCTGCTGAGTTGGCAATGGATGATTTCCTTCTCACAGTGTAATGTACAATAGCTGTAATTTAATTGTTAATAGAACACAACATGCAGTCTGTCTTCAGGCCTCTGTGTCTCCTGTGGTATTTTCTTCCCATGTTGGAGTGTCTTTGCATAATCACATCTTTTAACAGTTAACAACTCTTGGCTAGATACACTTATATAATACAGTCAGACTATTGTTTATTCACAGTAGTTTAGCCATTCTCACTATCATCAAACAGAACTAACTGCTAAGATGCCCATTCTAATGTACAGAATAGCTTATCCTTTGTTATTTAGAAATTGTTTATGTTAAGTACATATTCTCTTTTAATTTGTTAAAGATATACTCATAATTCTTTAACTGAGATAGGACATTACTTCTTATTTATTTATTTACTTATTTATTTTAGAGATGAGATCTCACGATGTTGCCCAAGCTGATTTTGAATTACTGGCCTCAACCAGTCCTCCTGTCTCAGCCTCCCAAAGTGCTGGGATTACAGGTGTGAGTTATTGTACTCAGCTATTTTTTCAAGTTTTAGATCTCTATAATAAAATGATACTTTTCTGTGATTCCTTAACATTGTCTACACTTATGTGCATGTTCATATTTGTTTTACTGTTGCCTAGTTTTCCATTTCACTCATTCTTTTATCCAATACATGTTAATTATCACTTTTCTAATTACTAAGGGTACTTGAGTGAACAGAGCAGACAAAACCCCCACCCTTAAGAAATTTGTATTATTTTCAAGTTGTTGCAACTTTAGGTGTTTTTTAAAAAATAAAAATTCCAAGCTGATAAAACCAATCTGACAACTGCCTCCCTCACCAATATATGCATGTTATAGCCAGAATTTAGAAATAACATTTATGATCATTTATTTTGTCTGGCAATGTGCCAATCATTTTACATTTATTTTAGCTCATTGAACGCTCACAACAACTAGAAGGAGGCACTATTAGGATACCTATTTTACAGATGAAGAAAGTGAAGGTCAGAGACAATAGTTAAGAGAAGGGTACAAGATTCAGTTTCCCTTGATCCTTAACCATTTCATATTCCAGGTGATGCTTTGCAGACATCTGATGAATGGATGAATGAACGAATGCATGCACTTCTTGGAATTCCCATTCAGCTTGGCATAAACACTAACTGCTTAGACTACTCTAGAAAAATCTAGACATTTTGTGGGAAGAGAAGAGTGGGAAGGGTGGCAGGGAATTATTTTTTCGAGTGAGTTGAGGCAGATGATTTTACAGATGATTGGGTTCTAACCGAGCATGGTTGCCATATCTGAAAGATGAGAATAGGGCAGACACCGAGTTCTGTCCGCCCTGGGTAGCCTCTGAGATTCAAGCTCAACAGCCGAGTGTTGGAGGACAGACAGTTCCTGCAGAGTCCCAGGAATCAGAGGAGACTTGGAGGCAGAGGGAACCGGCTATCCTAAAGGTGATGTTAAACCCGGGCAGCCGGAGCCCAAAGAAGGGCGAAACCAGGACTAATTGCCCCACAGCATGAGGGGCAGCGCCTGTAAAATTACATAGGATTTGGAAAGGTGTTAGGCACTCTCGTGCGGGGTAAAGCTTCGCAAGGCCGTGGTAGGGGAAATTATTCATTTCCCTTCCCTATTTCCCTGCAGCATGGTCCCCACAACCCTCCCCTCTTTCCCCATTTCCATTTCCGAGCTCTTCTCTTGCCCGCCAGACATACGCACGCGCAGAGAGATTCCCAGCCGTGGCCGCCAGAGAGCCGGAAGCATCGATCGACTCCGTGCTCAGCTTCTAGACTTGTCGACGCTTGATTGAGGAGCCTGGCAACGTTACTTCCGGTGCCTGGCTCCGTTTCCGGCTTTTTGTTCTTACGAGCGACGGCGTACGCCTTAGGTGAGTTGGTGCGCTTTTTACCTCTTTGCTCTTTCGGTTCTCCGGTTTCCTCGGCCCCTTTCTCCCCTGTTGCAGCTGGGAGCGGACGAAGCGTGAAGCTGGGGTGGGGACGCGTTTGCCCCGGGGTTCTCGGAGGTGTAGTCTTACGGGCGAGAAGGGATGGAGACTGGCGCGCGTGACTGGCTGGGGCCGGGCATGGCGTGTTTGCTCCCTTGGACTTCTTGCCGGGGCCGTGGGCGAAGGTGCTTGTGTCTAGAGAGGTGGGAGGCTTGCGCGCACGAAGTAAAGGATAATTAATGTCCGTCTGTTTGTCGAAGGCGTGGGCAGTTCACTGAGCTTTCCAGTGTCTCCAGGGGCTCCCTTTTGGTAGCGGCGGGTCATGCGGGGTGGCCCTGTAACAATCAAGGCTATGATCAAACTTCGCAGGAGACCCTGCAGGAGCCTCCGCGTTGTTCCCCTACCTTCGGTTTGACCTCTGCCTCAATCACTTTCCTTTCGTCGTCTCCTTTGCGACTCCTGCCCCTTCTCCAGATTTCGATTTAGGGGGTCACAAGGCTTTGAGGAGCGTTACGCAGCCCCGCTTGTAGGCTCTTCCCTTGTCAGTCGTCCAATGCTGTTCACATACAGTGGATGCTCTGTAAATATTTGTGAGATAAACCTGTGGGGCACACAGGAAATCAAGCTGGCTCACAATTTGCAAGTAAAAACAATGTAGGTAATGCAATTGTGTGGTAGATGAGAAAGAAAAATGTAGAGAAAGCAAGGGCTGAATTTCCAGGCCTAATCGTTACTAGCTGTGTGACCTTAGGCGAGTCCCTTAACTGGTAATAGCTGTTAATAATTACTCCTAAGTGCTGACCGCTGATGCAGAACGTGCTGGAACTCATTTAGTCTTCTGAGTTCTATTGGGTAGGTTCTGTTACCATTCTCGTTTTACCAATGAGGACCTGAGAGATTAAGGAACTTCCCTCAGGCAAACAGCTAGTAAGAAGCATAAACATGATTTGAATTCACATCTGCCTGGCACTAGAATCTGAGTTTAACTGTCATGCCACACTGCTCTCATTGAGCTCCCTTCTTTCAAGTCGGTTAGAGGTAACCTTGGAATCCAAATAGCTCGGTGACGCTGTATACAAATTAAGTGATAGGTATGGAAAGACTTTATAAGTGCATCCATGAACTAGTTGGCAAACTTCATTAATGTCTAATCTATGATTTTTTACTGGATGTGCATTTGCTACTTTCTTTGTCATTTTTCTTCAAATCTGTATTTTTAAATTATTTTGTCGAGCAGGTGGAAAGACTATCACTTTTCATAAGTGAAAAGTAAGTGTGAAAACAAATGTGTTGAATTAAATATTGTTACAAAAATCTGGCTAGGTATTGGTGCCCCAAGTTTTGAGCATGAGACACTGTTCTCCTTTTGTATGAAAGGGTGGGCTAGTAGGTGCTGGAGATACAATAAAGACTACAGCCAAACTGACATTTTCTGACAATTGGGAATTGAAAGAGAAGTGAAAAGTTAATAATTCTTGTGCTGTGTCCTTATGCTACAATCCAGTATAATTTCATCTTTCCTTTTTCTAACAGATTATTTACTGTTTTTGAAGAATTTAACACAAACATGGATATCAGACCGAATCATACAATTTATATCAACAATATGAATGACAAAATTAAAAAGGAAGGTAACTACTTTTTAAAATACTTGTTCACAACTAAAATGTGTTTATTTACTACTGTCTTAAAAATTGTACTGCCTCAAAACCTCTCACCTCGTCGTCTTAGTACCTGAAATAATGGTTAATCCCATTTCCTGTAAGGATAGGAAAGCTTTTAAAAAACAAAAATAGGTAGGAACTGACAGTATGTTCAGTCTGTTGCTACTTATAGATGTAATGGTTTCATATAACTTTTTAAATTACATATAGCCAATGGGAATAGTATATGTTTTTTGTAAATTATTACTATAACTGTATACATAAGTGAATGGTATTGGCAACTCAATACAGTATAATTTGAAGACTTTTGTCATTATTTTATTCACCAGCGACTTGTTTCTTTTCTAATTTGGACAGAATTGAAGAGATCCCTCTATGCCCTGTTTTCTCAGTTTGGTCATGTGGTGGACATTGTGGCTTTAAAGACAATGAAGATGAGGGGGCAGGCCTTTGTCATATTTAAGGAACTGGGCTCATCCACAAATGCTTTGAGACAGTTACAAGGATTTCCATTTTATGGTAAACCAATGGTAAGCTAATCCTGTTATTTTAACTTTAATCAAGAAACTAATGATATTAATGGTAGAGTAGATTTGCAAATATGCTTGAAACTGAGGCTGTTGCTTTCTGCTTTTAATTATGTATGTCTAGGTTTATGTATTTTTATAGGAAAACAGTAGCAGTAGAGTTTAATTTACTCTTACGACAGTTAAGATGGGCAAAAACAAAATATGTTGAGATGTAGAATATTTTTAAAAATGGCAGTCTAGGCAATATTCTTATCTGAAAAAGTTACAACTTAATAATAACCTGGAAGACTTGAAAAGAAACCCGTTTATAAACTTGTAAAAACATTACAAAAACCATGAGTCAAAGAGGAAATTCAGTCCAAAGTTTTAGAAAATGCTAATAGTGAAATACTATATATCAGAAGCTATACAGTCTAGATGAAACAGTGATGGAAAGAAAAATTATAATAGGTTTAAACTCATAGGATTAAGGAATAACAATGAAAATAAAATGGTTATTCATGGAGAATTTTAAACTCAGGAATGACATAATGAGATTCACATCTAGCTTCGGGATGAAGATCATGCTGGGGGAGGGACAGAAAGGAAGTGAGAAACTCAAGTAGGAGGTCCTTGGTTTAAGTCAGAGATAGTAGAGGATCAGATAAGGGTGATCACAGAGTGAGGCAAGGCATTCCCTGCGTGTGAGTGAATACCCAGTACCTTGGATGTGGATTTGGAGTGTTTGGACAAAGAGCCAAGGCCCAGGGTTTAGAGGAGCTGGGTCTTCATTCTCATACTCTTAACTGGTTCAGTTCCCCTGGTCAGCTTTACCACCTCTGAAATGTAATCAAATTGGTTGTTCTTTGGTTTAATGTAGGCATCAACAAAAACTGTAAAGAAGTACATAATACTTGAGGCTTTGTAGGCCATATATGGTTTCTGTTACCTATTCTTTTATGTGCTTATGTTTTTTGTCAACCTTTTAACATTATCTAAAAAAAAAAAAAAAAAATTCGTGTAGGCCATGCTGACGCCAGCCGTGGGCAGGGTTTGGCTCACAGAGTGTGGTACAGACTAATCCCTTCATTTTACAGATGAAGAAGCAGGCACAGAAAGTTTAATTGTTCATCCAGGTTATAGTAATATGGCAGCATCAGGAGTTGTCAACTAATCTTAACAGCTAGTATTGTCATTTTTTTTTTTAAATATACTACAAGTCAGCAAACTTTCTGTGAAGAACCAGATAGTAAATATGTTAGGCTTTGCCAGCCAGATAATCTGTGTTGCAGCTACTCAGTCAACTCCTTTTGTATCAGCAAGAGCAGTCAGATAAGGACAGGCAGTGTTGGCTACAGACAGTAGTTTGAGGGCCCCTGTTTTATACTACGATGTTTAATTCAGGACTGAGCAACTTTTGTTTCTGTTTCTAGAGCAAGTTTTTCTCATCCTCTATGCAGCTCTCCTATTCCCATCACTTTCCAGCTGACTGGACACCATTTTTGTGGAAAGGCCTATCCCAGGAAACTGGGATGGTTCCTATGTTACCTAATTTTTAGTAAATTGGTGTTTCCTGAAACCAGCCAGTTGCCTGCAGTAGTATGAAGAAACACCATAATTGAGATCTCACTTAGCAGCAGCATAGGGACTGGGTTTTAGTTTACCTCTAAAATCACATTAACTTGAGGTACAGTTTCTTCCCATAGAGGGTTTAGAGCTATTTTGCTGAGTTGAGATAACAAGTTTGCATGTGTCTGTTACTCAGATACAGGAAAGGAAATTGTTTGCTGTGTTGGGCACCATCCTCACCTTGCCAACTAATTTTTTTTAAAATTAGTGGGAAAAGTATATTAGATTGTTATTATATTAAAGCTTTTTTTTTTTTTTTTTTTGAGACGGAGTTTCACTCTTGTTACCCAGGCTGGAGTGCAATGGTGCGATCTCGGCTCACCGCAACCTCCACCTCCTAGGCTCAGGCAATTCTCCTGCCTCAGCCTCCTGAGTAGCTGGGATTACAGGCACGCACCACCATGCCCAGCTAATTTTTTGTATTTTTAGTAGAGACGGGGTTTCACCATGTGGACCAGGATGGTCTCGATCTCTTGACCTTGTGTTCATCTGTCTCGGCCTCCCAAAGTGCTGGGATTACAGGCTTGAGCCACCGCGCCTGGCATTAAAGCATTTTGGGAGGTCCATTCTTTCCCTTCAGAAAGGTTACAGATAACAGCCAAATTTCCAGCATCTTAGAAGAGTGGGAGTAGAGTTCTTTGGGCTGTCTTGTTTATGTCTTACTGTGATTTTAGTTGCTCTTCTGTTTTAACTCCAACATACCAGATCAGAAATGAACAAAATCTGCCAGAATTTGGAACTCAGAACAAAATTAATCTTTCCGATTCAAGGGCATTTAGTTAATGCCAAAAATGCCCTAGTAAAGTGGAACCGTCTTCCTAAGGGTTTCGTCATTGAAGCTGTGGCATAAGTGTAAATCTGGCCTTTCTCTAAGTTGTGGGTGGACTTTTATCTCTACTAGGTATTTATTTAATCCAGATCAGGGTTTCTCAACCCTGTCACTTTGGACATTTTGAGGTGAATGATTCTTTGTCGCAGGGGGCTGTCTTGTTCATTACAGGGTGTTTAACAGCATCCCTGGCCTCTACCCACTGGATGCCAGTAGTACAACCACCAGTAATGTCTCCAGCTAGTGCCAGCTGTGTCCTGGCAGACCAAATCACCTCTGGTTGAGAACCACTGGTTTAAATTAACCAGCTAGGAGTTATTGCTGAGATCAGATATATTCATAGGTGACTGGGTTGTGGTCATAAGACAAATTCGGTCACCCAAGATCTATTCAGGTCAGGTACAAAGTTGAAGAGCCAAGGGAGTTGTGAGGGAAGCCTTAGGACCGAGTCGGAAGTTAGTGTAAGCCTTCAGCCTGTCTCTCTTTGGTTAGATGATGATGGCAAGACTAGCAGAGTTGCTTGCAGGGATCAGCACACTTAGAGCCACTGTGGTGCAACAGCCCAGACCAGCCAGAAAGAGCCTGGGATTCTGAGGTGAGGCTTTAGGCCTGCTCCCTCCCCTTTTGTTTTCCCAGTATAGTCATCTCTAGCTGAAGTAAAGGAAGAGGAATTCATCTTGCTTTTGACTAATTCTCTGCTTCGTTAATCCACACTACTTTAAAATATTTCTTGTTCTCTTCAGATCAAGATCAAATTCTTGCTGTACAGGGCAATAAAATTTTGCATACCTATTTTATACGAGATAATTTGTACAGTTGACTACAAAGCTGCTGCTTTGTAGGAGTATTGCATTTTGATTAGAGAATCAGTAATTCTTTCAACTCCAGGGAAGAAAAGTTTGCTTTAAATGGAGGTTGGAGATTGCAGATAGTCATACCTAGGTAACAGTTTAACTCGTGCCAGAAATATTCAGACAGTTCATTGGTGCTGAGTCTAACTATGTGATAATGCTTTAGGCCAGGGCTACTCAAAATGTGGTCCCCATGCCAATAACATTACCATCTTTGTGCTTGTTACAAGTGGAGAATCTCACGTTCGCCCAGGCCTACTACATCAGAGCTTTTACCTGCTTTCCAGGCATTTGGAATGTAAAGTATAATTAATAAAATGCTATCCTGGACAAGTTTTTGAACCCTTCCCAGTTCTAACAGGTGCCTCTTGGTGCCAGCATAAAAGGAATATGCAAGTGGTCCAGTCACATTATCTGTGATTCCATTCTTTTAAAAAAAAAAAAAATTTTTTAAATTTAGTAAGTTGATTCCACTGCTAAAGTCATTTCCTATAAAGGTGATGGATTCAAAGGAAAGTGATTCCCAGTCATCTGCTGTACTTTAACTATTGGAAGTAACAGTCCATATGACACATTCCAGAGCTGATTGACACACGTTGATGCTTCTATTAAGAGTCACTGGTAAGGGGAAGGAACTCTCCAATGCATTTTTTTTTGTTGTTTTTATTCTGCGTGTGTGTTTTTTAAACACATCTGTTAATAGCAAGTTTATTCATAATCGTCAAAAACTGTAAACAACCCAAATATCCTTCATTGGGTGATATAAAACAAACTGGTACATCAATACGATGAAATTCTACTCTCTGTTAAAAGCAGTGACATAGATGAATCTCGGAGGCATTATGCCAAATGAAGACAGCCTCCGGGTTACATCATGTATGATCCTATTTGTGTGACGTTCTGGAAAAGTCAGCAGGGACAGAGAACAGATGACTGTTTGCAAGAGGAGGGGCGGGGCAACAGGGGAAGCATGAGGGGACTTTGAGGTGATAGAATTGCCGTACAGCTGTTTCAAGTGTTAAAACTCAGAGCTGTACGTCCAAAAAGTTACGCCAAAAAGTTAAATGCAAAAATTTATGTTTAGAATTTTTAAAAATGAAAAAAAAAAAAAACCCAAATAATCTTTTAAAAAATGCTTTAAAATAAATTCTCCATCTAGTTTTCTTGCCAGAAAAGTTTTTCTGTGGGGGCTCTGTCGTATGAGCCCTAGTGTTCTGTGAGCCTGTTCTTCTGTCTGTGAAACAGGGTTAGTTTAGAACAGTGATTTTCTTTCTTTTTCCGAGGCTGCCCCAGATTGCATCCCTGGGTGCTCACTCTATGACTGTGGGGTTGTGGGCATTGGGGAGAAAAGGGCATTTGGTCTCCACTGGGCTCTGGAGCCATAATTCTGTGTTAGGTTGAGCAGTTTTGCTTTTGTTTGTTTGTTTGAAGTTTTCAAATTGTTTATTATTATCACAAAATCTAGCATAAAAGTAAATTAGATTCAACTAAATTGTGTGCTTTAGGAGCACATGCATTTGCTCATTCTTTTTGGACTATAACCTTGAATTCAACTGGTAATTTTTCCTAGATTATCTGTCTTTTGTTTGTTTTATATGTTGTTTGTTGGAAACCTCTGGATTAGAATAGCTGGCTTTGAGCCAGATCCTTAGGCACTGAGGAGATTCGTACAGTTTGGATTCCGAAGCCCGCTGGCGGGGCCCAGTCATTTGTCCATTTAACATTTCAACGCAGTTTTCTCTATTCTTTGATTAAATGGAGAGAAACCGTAGTACATATATTTCAAAAGTCCTGTTTCTCTCACATGAAAATGAATGGTTTTTTATCTCATAAACACAGTTATATTTAACTTTGCCTGAATGATGAATTATAGCCCACAGTTTATTTCCATTTGGCACTCAGTATATTTTGTCAGATTTCCTTAGGGATATGTTTAAAATTAGCTTGTAGTGTATTTGCTTAATTAAATTTGAACTATTAATGACTAAACATCCTTCAGTATAATGAGAAGTAACTTGTTTTCAAATAATTAAAACAGCGAATACAGTATGCAAAGACAGATTCGGATATAATATCTAAAATGCGTGGCACTTTTGCTGACAAAGAAAAGAAAAAAGAAAAGAAAAAAGCCAAAACTGTGGAACAGACTGCAACAACCACAAACAAAAAGCCTGGCCAGGTAAGGGAGACTGTAAAAATTCCTGTTTGTATTGGTGTTAAAAACCTGATAAATGCTTGTCTTACACGTTAGGAATAATCTTAGGCTTGTCTGTATATGTGCACAAATGTGTGTTTAAAAGATGGTTTTAAGAAGCTAGAATGATTGACTTCCAAAAATCAGTGTTAAGAAACAGAATATCAGCTTAACATATGCAGATTTATGTTTAGCAATTTGAATTTGCATGGCATTTAATTCCATTCCCTAAAATATGTTAATACCTTTTGGTTTATTTCTCAAGTTTTGCTGCCTATAAATAATATCATAGTTGTTATCTTTAATCATGAGTACTTCACTCAAAGTGTCTTTTGTTGAACAATTCCATAATACAAAATATAATTTGAAATCCTGGATAAAAAGTAAAATTAACTACCAGGCACGGTGGCTCATGCCTATAATCCCAGCACTTTGGGAGGCTGAGGTGGGTAAATTACTTGAAGTCTGGAGTTTGAGACCAGCCTGGCCAACGTGGTGAAACCCTGTATCTACTAAAAATACAGAAAATTAGCCGGGTGTGGTGGCAGATACCTGTAGTCTGAGCTACTCTGGAGGCTGAGACAGGAGAATTACTTAAACCCGGGAGGTAGAGGTTGCAGTGAGAGATGGAGGTTGCAGCGAGGCGAGCTTGTGTCATTGCACTCCAGCCTGGGTGACAAGGGCAAGACTCCCTCTCAAAAAAAAAAAAAAAAAAAAGGTAATTACTTCTGGATTGAAAGTGATTAAAAGTCAATTTTACTAAATATAATGGACTTATGTCCTATTTTGTTTTAAAAGTAAGACTAGACCTTGGTTTTCTCTTTTTATTTCTCCATAATGTTAAAGCTAAGAGGTTAAATTTTATACTGTTTAAAGTTTAGGGCTAACCTTAACAAAAATAACCAACAAATTAAAAACATGAATGTTTGAGTCAGTGTTAATATATAAATTCTTAAAGTAAAATTAAATGGAGTAAGAAGGATATCTATTGGAATTAATGTTATTTTTACACAGAAATTATAAATACCTGCTGCCTTTTTGGAGGGATTGGATATTTAAACTCTCACAATTTCTTTTGCTTAGGGAACTCCAAATTCAGCCAATACCCAAGGAAATTCAACACCAAATCCTCAGGTAATTTTTTTCCATGTCTCACCCACCTTAAAATAAGATTCTAAAAATGATAACAGTAGTATAAAACAACTTGCATGTCTCTAAAAACAAAATGTTTTCATCTCCAAGACACAGTGTGTTAAATTGTGTGCCACTGTAATTTAGAAACTCTCCCCCAAAGAACATTTTAATTCTTTTTCAGAGGGAGAAAACAACACCTGACTTTATTTCTTGCTTCCATAATGAATCAGTGACAGAATCAAAATGACAGACTTTAAACCCTGTGAGGGCTGGGAGCAAACATTTTTTGTTTTCTCTGCTGTACCTAAAGCTTTACAAACACAATTGCGTGGGTGAGGGTAACTGGCAGGGTCAGGGGCTGTCTTCATTCCAATTGGTTGAAACACTACAGTATTTTCTGGAGACACACATTATTCGGGCACATAGTTTTATAGTTATCTTTGCTCTCACTTCCTGAACACAAATATATTTCAGTCTTTTTTTTTTTTTTAAAGCCTTCTTGTACAAATGTTTTAGAAACTCCGTATTAAATCTCCCCATGAAATACCTCAAAGAGAAAGCCTCAGTAGTGTGCTGATGGTTTCATACTTGTTTTTTCAGATGGCCTTGAGTTGTTCACTAATTGTTTTTACACTTGCTCTTTTATCTTAAAGGAAACTAGCCTGAAGACAGAGCTCTTTTCTTTTTTTTTTTTTTTTGAGACGGAGTTTCGCTCTTGTTACCCAGGCTGGAGTGCAATGGCGTGATCTCGGCTCACCGCAACCTCCGCCTCCTGGGTTCAGGCAATTCTCCTGCCTCAGCCTCCTGAGTAGCTGGGATTACAGGCACGCGCCACCATGCCCAGCTAATTTTTTGTATTTTTAGTAGAGACGGGGTTTCACCATGTTGACCAGGATGGTCTCGATCTCTTGACCTCATGATCCACTCGCCTCGGCCTCCGAAAGTGCTGAGATTACAGGCTTGAGCCACTGCGCCCGGCCAGAGCTCTTTTCTTATATACAAGACCCTTTTTCTGTTTTCCCATAACCTCTGGGGGGGTGGATATCAAGTGACTAATATCTAATAAACTAAGGGAGTATTGCTGCTTGTTTGTATGTGAACTACATGTTGTGGATGTCGCATTTACTTGCCAAAAATAAGCAGACAAAGTCCCTGAGGAGTGGTTCTCAGTGGAATCTTTCTATTTCCAATTTTTTAAAATATATATATGCTCTGAGGTAGTCATAATACAGAGGAAATGAGTATCTGAGTGATGCTGAGTGTGGTAACCAGCTATGGAGGGGTGACATTGCTGGCCTTCTCAAATTTTGTTCATATCTTTGATTATGTTATCCAGGTGACAAAATTCTCTGTTTACGACTCACCTCCAGATGCTTAAAACATAATTGTTTCACATACTGTTAAACATATAAGAGATCTGTGATTTTCCAAACGTGTTAATGTCTTGACTTGAATGTCTGCTTTGCTTAGTTACTGTAAGGTTTTTATTTCTGCAATGTCATTGTTTTTGTTTGATATAGTAAGATTTCACATGCCTAGCTTACAATGCTGTTTAAACTTAGAATAACTTTGCCTTTTTACTTTTTAATAGGTCCCTGATTACCCTCCAAACTATATTTTATTCCTTAATAACTTACCAGAAGAGACTAACGAGATGATGTTATCCATGCTGTTTAATCAGTAAGTTTTTTCATAAATAAGTCTGCTTCTGAGAGCTTCTTGACAAGACAGGTAGCACTTCAATGGGTTGAATCCATTTATCACCCAGCAGTAATTCCTTACAGGTTCATTGATTTGTTCTGGGATGAATCATGAATTGGAGCCATATTAGCAAATAAAAAGCTAGATTTCCTCTAATGTTTTGAATTCTTAATTCTGAATTGATATAACAAAGCTTTGATATAACATAGAAATAGAATTAGTTTACTTTATTCCTGCAGTTCTTCCATGGTATGAATTATATTTTAGGCTCTTCCATCTACTCAGTATTCTTGGTTAGGGTTTGATTATTTTTCTTTGACCAGTATTAGTAAGTTGCTTAATAAATTTTAACACAAAGCAAACATTTATGTACTTGCATGTATACAAGAATTGTTTTTCTTCTTCCCAGGTTTCCTGGCTTCAAGGAAGTACGTCTAGTACCAGGGAGGCATGACATTGCTTTTGTTGAATTTGAAAATGATGGGCAGGCTGGAGCTGCCAGGGATGCTTTACAGGGATTTAAGATCACACCATCCCATGCTATGAAGATCACCTATGCCAAGAAATAACATTTGGGATAGTCGTCTTTAAAGGACTTGGTATTATGTGTGTGTTTTGATAACATTTAGTTGGGTCATTTTAATAGAGATTAGCGGGAGTGAATGAAATTTTTGTGAAGGACTTACACTAGTATTCCTTTAGCTTTGGTGAACTATGAAATATGAAGGCCTTAATTTTGTACAATAAACTTTTATTTGTATTTTGTATATAATGGCTTCTTTATTGACCCACTGCCCTATCATCAAATGACTATTCTAGTCTAAAACTCGTCTTAAGGTTTATAAAACTGTGTAAAAGGATGCTTTTCTAGTGCTATTTTGGAGGAGCTAATGATATAACATCATTGAACTATTTTAATAAAAGTCAAGTAGAATTAGATCACAGAAGCTAGTAGGTGACTTGTATTAATGGTAACAGTGATTGTTCTGGGTATTAGAAGAAAATGAGACCCAGGCAGTTTCTAAATTTGATCTTTGTATCCTTTAAAGAAATGAACATATTTTGCTGGTAGTAGGGATTCCACAAGTCTTTTTCATTCAATATTAAATAAAGGCTGTGCTTACTGTTTACTGAGAAAACAGAGAATACTGTCTTCAGACTTTGCATTTAATGTATTTCATGAGGCACAACTATTCCTAAGGTTAATACCCAGCCTCTTTATTGAAAGATCTCCAGGGGAAAAATTTTATAATACAGTCTTTTTTTTTTTTTTCCCCTTTAAGACAAATAGGTTGATTTAAAGAGTTGCCAGTGCTAAAAGCTTGCTACTTCTGTGTCATTTCTAAACACCAATGTTCAAATAGTTCCAAAGCCCATTTTCTTTAGCTTTTGAATTATAATCGGATTACTGATTATTAATGTTTCTAGGCTTCTGGGCTACTGGAGATCATGGTTACATTGACCTGATTCTCCATTGTTCCATAATACCTCAGTGTGTGTTTCTTAAGTGCAAGACCACCCTTCCACATAACCACAATATGACCATCAAAACCAGGAAATTTGACTGGGTGCGATGGCTGACGCCTGTAATCCCAGCACTTTGGGAGGCTGAGGCGGGAGGATCACTTAACACCAGCTAGGGCAACAGTGAGATCTTGCCTATACAAAAGGTAAAAATAAGCTGGATGTGGTGGTGTGTGCCTGTAGTCCCAACTACGGGGTAGGCTAAGGCAGGAGGATTGCTTGAGCCCAGGAGGTTGAGGGTACAAATATCTATGATGATGCCACTACACTCCAGCCTGGGCAACAGAATGAGACCCTGTCTCAAAACAAAACAGGAAATAGTCCCATAATATCATCCGAGTTTTGCTTATGTTCCAATAATGGCTCAAGAATCCAATCGGGATTGTGTTGCATGTAGTTGTCACGTTTCTTTAGCCTCCTGCTGGTTCCTCAGCTTGTCCTTGTCTTTCATGATGTGACTTTTATATAGAGATTGTCTACCTTTGGATATATCTACACAGTTATGTTAAAAACTATGACTGTATAAGAATGTCTCTGGTTGCAGTCTAACAGCACTGAGTTCATCCTGGCCTTCCCTCTTCCCCTGTGTATAACTCTCTTCACCATTCCCATTAACTTCATTACATGATATTACTTTCTCATATCTTTCCTTTGCAATCAAACTCTATAATAAAGTAAGGCTTCAATAGGGAGCAGGGGAGGGGAAAAAGGAGATAGCAGTGCTTTAAAGAAGCTTTGATCAAACTAGGATCTTTTGACCCTCCTGACTTCGACTCCTAAAGTCACCCATCTTTGGGAGTGTGAGTTTTGAGGGATGATTGAAGGGAGTAGATGTTATTTAATACGTGGTTCTCAACCTGGGCTGCATATTGGAATCATCTGGGAGACATTTTCAAATAACCATGCTCAGTTTACACCCCAGATCAATTAAATCCATCTCCAGGAATGAAACCCAGTCTTCAGTATTTTTATAATCCCTGAGGTGATTCCACTGCCACCCAAGGTTAAGAACTAACAGAGCAGATTTCTACTTTGTGAAATAGGATATAAGATCATTGGCTCAAACAGTGTTCTTCAAAAGTAGTATGTTGATAAGTAGAGGGTAGTGTAAGTCTGGAAATGGTCGTGATGCAGAGCAGGCAGACTTCAAACTTGGGGCTTCACCCAGGAAGGTTCTTGGGTTCACCCAGGAAAGAATTCAAGAGGGAGGCCGGGCATGGTGGCTCATGCCTGTAATCCCAGCACTTTGGGAGGCCGAGGTGGGCGGATCACGAGGTCAGGAGATCAAGACCATCCTGGCCAACATGGTGAAACGCCGTCTCTACTGAAAATACAAAAATTAGCTGGGTGTGGTGGCGTGCACCTGTAATCCCAGCTACTCAGGAGGCTGAGGCAGGAGAATTGCCTGAACCCAGGAGGCGGAGTTTGCAGTGAGCCGAGATCACGCCATTTCATTTCAGCCTGGCGCCTGGCCACAGAGCAAGATTCTGTCTAAAAAAAATTCAAGAGGGAGCTGGTGGTGTTAAACAGCAGTCTTTTTGTAAATAGTACTGCCCCTTGCCAAGCAGGGCTAATTCATAGATAGTCTGCCTAGAGTTCGCAAAGTATTTCTCTAGGCAACTGCATTTATACAAAGTTAAACCCGCTTTCAGTTACATGCAAATTAAGAGAAGGCTCAATGCAAATTGAGGGATAGATTATTTAGGACTTTCTAGCAAAGGGGTGGTAACTTCTGGGTCATTGCCATGGAAAGGGGCAGTATATTCCAGGTCGTTGCCATGGCATTTGTGACAGTCATGGCACTGTAGGTGTGGCTTATGCTAATGCAAGACGAGGACAGCTGAGGATCGCTTTCCTTGACATCTCCCTGTCGCTGCCGGTGTCTTCACTTTATTCTGCCTGGACCAGATCTTGTTCTGGTCAGCAGGGTTGTGACCAGAAAACAAGTCCTGCTGCTCTTCTGCCTTAGTTGCAAGAGACTCAAAACTCCATTTTAAACTTTAAGCCTTATAGTATCTTCTGTTTGAGTATTTAACAAGCATTGTTTTTCCCCTTGAAAGTGTATCCAGCCAAGACCTAATGGAAGAATGTGAGGCCCTAGCTAAAATTACCGTATTTTACTTGCCTGGGAGCAGTACTTCTCAAACGTTAATGTGCATACAAGTCACTTGAGTATCTTGTTAAAATGTAGATTTAGATTATGTCTTGGGGGGTGAGGTCTGAGAAACTTCATTTCTATAAAGTGATGTCAAAGTCACTGGTCTGGGAACCATGTTTTTGGTGACAAGTGACAAGACCCCAGAGTTTCTACCCCAATTATTTATTCAATGACTCTTAACAGGTGTTGTCAATCTCTTTTTTAAAGCCAGGGACTTTGCCTAAGCATACAATTTCAGAGTAATCATGCATTCATTCAGTGAATACCTATTTAATGCATACCAAGTTTCTTTCCGGGTGCTAATGACAGAGTGAGGAACAGGATGAAAAGATCCCTGCCTCATGGAGGTTTCATTTAGTGCTGGAAGACAAACCATCACCAAGTAAATAAAGTAGGCACGCCAGCTATGATATGTGCCTTAAGACAGTGTATGGCAGCCACAGATACAGGGACCGGGTAGAGGAAGGTTTGAAGTGGCTTTTTAAATTGTTCTGTTTGTGGAGGCATCTTGGCCAGAGACCTGAATGCTGGTATCTGGGGAAAAGCATACTAGGCAATAAGTTAGGAGTGCCTGAAGTAGAAATGAATTTAGTGTTTTCAAACGACAGAACTGGTATGGGAGGAGCAGAGTGAATGAAGGAGAGAGCAAGAGGTGAAATCCCAGAGCTACAGGGGCCTGATCCTACAGGAGCTTGTAGGCCACAGCAAGGAGGCTGCCTGAACCTGATCGAGCCCAAACTTAGATCCTAAAGGAGCCACAGCCTCAATTTAAGAACTCCAGACAGAGAATCTAATTTAGGAACTCTAGCAGGAGAAAAATGTTATTTAGGGATTAAATGTTTGGAGAATACATCTGAAAGTCTGGGTACGCAAACTGGGGACAGAACCCTTATTGAACCCCCAGTGACCCCGGTGTCTTCGCCATAACTGCTAGACACAGCTACTTGCTGAATTATTGCAAGTTCAAATTCCTATTTGCATGCAGTTTTACCAAGAAGCCTCTAGCCTCTGTCCTGTCCCTGTCCACTTTAGAATGCTAGAACATCACAAGCTTTCCGGGGCCGCATTCAGAAGGCTTGGTATCTCATCACTTTATTTCTTCATCTTCAAATGCCCAATAATATTTTCATGTTAGCATTTGCCTGCTTTGCTAAGTTGTGACAGTTTGAATGTCACATTTTGTTTTTTGATTTTAATCATTTCACTCTGCTTTGGGGGTTCTGTGTATGCTTCCCAGTGGGGAGTTTTTGCTGTCTCCATTTCTTCAAGTGCCTCTTAAATGACAATTGTCTTTTAACTCTCCCATGCTGAGGGCTGGTTTGAGACTGGAACAGTCCATAAAACAGGTGCCCCATCAGGATTAAGAAGATTTAATCAATGCTTTAGTTTTTCCAGAAATTTAGGCTCGTAGATTTGATTACAGGGGAAAAAATGCAAAGGCATTCTGCTTTCAAAAATAATTTCAAATTCAATCTTTCCTTGCTGTGAAACAGGAAATAAATGATTTATTCTAATTTGTCAGTTCTAAGTTGACAGTGATAAATTGAAATAGCACTGAACCATGATCCTTCTGGGTAACCTTTAGATGATTCAAAAAGACCACTCCAGGCCAGGCACAGTGGCTCATGCCTGTAATCCCAGCATTTTGGGAGGCCGAGGAGGGCAGATCAATTGAGGTCAGGAGTTTGAGACCAGGCTGGCCAACATGGCGAAACCCCATCCCTACTAAAATACAAAAATTAGCTGGGCATGGTGGTGCACACCAGTAGTCCCAGCTACTCAGGAGCTGAAGCAGGAGAATTGCTTAAACCCTGGAGGCAGATGGTGCAGTGAGCCCAGATAGTGCCAGTGCACACTCCATCCTGGGTGACAGAGCAAGACTCTGTCTTTAAAAAAAAAAAAGGCGGCCAGGCGCGGTGGCTCAAGCCTGTAATCCCAGCACTTTGGGAGGCTGAGGCGGGCAGATCACAAGGTCAAGAGATCGAGACCATCCTGGTCAACATGGTGAAACCCCGTCTCTACTAAAAATACAAAAAATTAGTTGGGCATGGTGGGGTGTGCCTGTAATCCCAGCTACTCGGGAAGCTAAGGCAGGAGAATTGCCTGAACCCAGGAGGCAGAGGTTGCGGTGAGCCGAGATCGCGCCATTGCACTCCAGCCTGGGTAACAAGCGAAACTCTGTCTCAAAAAAAAAAAAAAAAAAAAAAAAAAAAAGGCAAAAAACAGAAAGACCACTGTGGCCTTTGCTGTGTCTCAGTTTTC